TCATGACTGTATAAAGACTTGCCAATATATTTATATGAGCAGAGCCTTCTTTCAGACTTCCAGTTTATACTGGCAAATGTACTCCACATTGACATGAGATACTTTGGTTGGACAGATTGCATTTCTGTAGAGAAAATGAGAGGGGCTGCTAGTACAGCTATGTTATTTGAGAGCGCAATATGTTTAACACTCCCAGTTCCCATATCCTTGAACACAGAATGGGGCAGCATAGATCTGGGCACACTCATTTATGAAATCCCATGCAATAACCAGAATTTGCAATTCTAAGTCAGAACTCAAAAAAAAAAAAAAAAAAAATTATGGGAGTTTAAAAACAAGAGTCTTGGGGACTTTTTCATGTGTGTCTGGAGTTTAGATTCATGTTTTCAAAGCTTTTTCCTCTACTCAAGATAGTTTTTGTTCTTTTAAAGAAATAAGAACCTGTGGTTCACACTTATTAACGTATATGTAAGAAATAGTTTTCAAAAGAAATACCAAAGCACACAATGAAATCACAAGGAGTAACAAAGGATCTTTCATTCTGAGATCAGAAATTTTTCTGAAGATTGGGATAATATTGTGCTCCCAGGACCTCCGTTATTCCACACTGAAGCTCCAATGGATCCAAAGCATCTCAAATTACTCCAAAAAGCCCTCAACTCACATCTTGCTGCCAAGGTTAGTTCAGTACCCAGGGCAAGCATTTCTGGAGTACTGTATGGTGCATAACACAGCTCTGCCAGCAGCAGTCAAGTCAATATAAAACCAGCCATACCAGTTAGTAGCTCTAATCAGTAACATATTAAAGAAAAGGCAGATACCACCAGTCTCTGCATTAATAGAAAGCAGCTTTGCTGTTTGCTGAGAATACTGTTAATGTGTTTTTGGTGAGCTCCGAGCATGTCTGTGAGATTCCTGGGGGAATTCTGCTTGAGGAACATCCCTCCAGGCTCCAGCAGGCTATAAGCTGAACAAGATGGATGAAGGCACTTGCCTGAGAGATGGCTCAGATGCAGCAGTTGTGTGGACATCCAAGTGACTCAGAAGCAGCAAACCCACTGCAAAGAACGAGCAGAAGAAACACACTGGCCCCAGTAACATAGCCAAGACTGGATTTGTTTTGGCAGAGTGTTGGTGAGCTGCAGACTCCAATCTCTAAAGAAGAGAACTGCCTCCTGTTGTCCCTGGGACTGTGCCCTTGTTTGTTTTTAACTAATTGGATGGCATGCAGTAAATATCTGGCTTCTGCTAGAAAAATTATCTCACAAGACCCCAAATGCTAATTATCCATTGGGCCAAAAAGAACAAGATTTGTTTATTTATCACTTGTTTACCTTGCTGTGGTAACTAGCAACATTGGATCAAGATCCCATTGTGCCAGAGAGTGTTCAGTTGCTGAACACAACTTGCTTTTTTCTTTGTGGATTGATTTCCTCCCCTATCTGCATGGTAAATAGCATCTGTATTCACAAGAAAAGAGATATAGTTTAGACAAAGAATTTTTTTCCTCGTAAGGAATGGGAGAACAAGGTACCAAAATATATTTCTCACTGGACAGAAAATAAAAATAAAACCTCTTAAAATCCATATATTTTGAATGTTGAAAAATTTTCAAAGAATCAAACTTTTTATTAAAAAAAATCAGTATAAATACATACATACTTTTTTTTTTGTTTGTTTGGCTTGATGAGTGCATGAAGGTCAGCAGAGAACTCTTGGAAGAAATTGTTAATATCACCTATGGAAAGGTGGAGACTTCAAGAGGAGACCTAAAAATAAAACACGCCACATAACTTTGGTGTAAAAATATTGCGCAGATCCAAATATTTGATGTATTTTATTTTCTGCTTCTTTGTAGCCATCTACTTCTACCTCAATTCAAAACAGCTATTAAAAAAACCTGCAGTAATCGGACAATACCTAAAAACTATTTTTCCATGTGGGATTCAAGGGCATTAATTCCGCATTATAAGCAGTGTTTCTGGATATGTACACATGCTGTACATAAAAATAACTGCAACATACTGCTTTCAGCTAAAGTTAATCTTGAAGTGCAAAACCGTTTTAAATGAGAAAAATATCAAAACAGTTGCAAGTAAATTAAACTCTTGTGGTTTCTTCTGAATACAGTCAGTATGAGAGAACAGTCTGAACAGAGAGCACTGTGAGCAACAGCCTTTCATAAGGAAGAAAACAGTTCACACTTAACAGCTACTTTCTTTAGAAAACTTAAAAGTGTCTCACTCATATTTCAATTTTTATGTAGTATTTAAATAAAAAATTTAATCCATTTATTTCTCTGAGGCCAGGAAAATTTTAAAGAGAGAAGCAATTGCAACAGAATATGCTTTTAAGGGTATGAGAAGACAGCTTACTGAGATTGTGAAATATAATAAATTCCTTTTGGTGATGTTCTGTGTCAGCAGTGAAAGACTTGTAAAAAAAAAAATATGAGCATCAGAAGTTTAGCAGATGCCAGTTTAAAAAAATTGGCAAGCTATTTTCATATTGCCTGTAATTTTCTAAAGCTATTAACATATTGTTAATTCATTCACAATAGTACTTCCAGTTTTAGCAGCAGCTATGAGTTTCATGGGTTATGCCTGACTGCTTTGTATGCTTCACGTGATTAGCCAGAGAAAGAGCTACAGCACTTTCCTAAACCATACTCCAAGCATATTCCCACCTTCTCCTCCTCTCCAGGGTGGAGGGAGGAACTGATGACAGAGATGACAGTCTGGCAACAGAATACTCTCAGAATTAAAAATAATCTCCTGACAATATCTGAGCATTTGATTCAGCTCTATCATAGTTAGATAGTTAGAAAGTGGTGTGGTTTTCTTCTTTTTTTTTTATATTTTTTATTTTTATTTTTTATTTTTAAGTATCACTGAAGTATTTTCAAATATCTTTGAACTTTAATATCATTAATAAGATTTAAAAATCCCACAGAATTGATTTTTCTCTGGGATAATCCATAATTCAGCTCTTTCCCATTCATGCCTTTGCACAGCTCTCATGTTCTTTGTCTACACAGTTGGATACTTTGTCTTCGGTTTTTTAAAAACACTGACCTTGTCCCTCCATATAGAGAAAGACAAAGGACCCTCTGCTTGTTTTCTCATAGAAAAGAAAGAATAAACTTTACAACTTGATGTTTTCTCTTAAAAAGAAAAAACAACAACAAACATAATTCCTAAATTCTAGAAACCTATTTTCACACGGTCTGATACTTTATCCTTTGTGTTTTTCCTGGCATCAAGCTTTGTTTACTGGCATTAAGAAACATTGTACCACCAAGCTTCCAACTTATCAGTGCTGAGAATGACAAGCCATAGCTTTAAAATGACATGACGATGGCCTGCTGTCAAAAATGTGCAAAATAATTTGTCCAAAGCCACCCGTCACTGTTGTACATTTGTTCAGTCATCCTTCGTGTAACTATAATGCTCATGAAAAATGACACATATTAAATTATACAAATAAGTCTGATTAAGATATTAGATATGTCCTATAATCATGATAAAACATTTTTGCTAAACCCTTTTAGCCTTGATGTCTGAGATAGCACAATCACTTTGGTATACTGAAAGTCAAATCTCTTCGCTACCAGGCAGTGGCAATAGTGACTGACATGGAGAAATGGTTTTGCTGAGATTTTGTGTTCTTGAGTTGGACAAATGGGATAGTAGAAAATGTTGGATCTTTCATCCCTTCACACCATGTAATGTTCTCATTTTCCACAAATATCAGATTTTATTTTTTTTCTCTATTTACTTCACAAACCAGCTGCAGAATTCTTCTAGGTACATTTAAAAGACAGCTGCACACATTTTGAAGGGGTATCATAACGTGTTTTTTGTCACTTCAGGTTTAATCAGCTTTCATAACATAGATATATAGGAAAATAGTAGTCAGGACAGTAATTTGAACAGAAATACAAGCACAGCACGCTCTTCATATTACACACACACCAGTGCTTCATCTACTTAACCCACAGGCCATTCTTAAGGTAATAACATGCTACCTCAAGAGGCTAAGGTTTCATTACATTTTTAAGGACTAACAGGTGTGCCCTTAAAGCTTGCCAAAATACTTCATGATGAACTGCAAAGCTAATCTGTAAACTTGCTGCTCACCCCCTGGATCACACTGCACCTGGCTAGTGAAATAGCAATAATGGAACTTATGCTTGGTCATCCTTATTCCAGTACTGCAGACCTCAAAGCACTGAGGCAGATGGTTAATCTACACATTGCTAGAAATAAACCTTATGGCTTCGATGAAAGTGTGTGTTAAGATGTTTCTTAAAAGTTAATATAAAAGTGAAAATTCCTACTCTTTAATGCTATATAGCAACTCAATACATTCTACCCAGGGCCACTATGCTCAGAAAGTAATTAAGGTCAGATAATTTCTTCTGGGTATGTTTCACGCTGGCCCTTCCAGGCCCCTCACTTTCTGAAAGTGCAAAAGAGCCATCAAAGAGTCCCATGCCACCTGCTTTCCTTCTGCTCATTTGCCAGTGGGCCTTTACTCTTTAAAAAATGCACCTGGTGAGGCTGAAGCTTAATCACCTTTCCAAACGTCTATGGCTACATAAAAGGGACAGCCCCCAGTCCTCTTGCTTTTTGATCCCTCATTTGTCCGCCATATGGCATTTCTAAATATAGGGTCTGGTCTGTGCAGATATACTATTTTCTATAAATAGACTGCAGCACTGGAGTATGGAATTAAGAGTGAGGACTTCAGAGTCAGCTCTAATCAGAACAGCGTGGTGAGAGTTTTACTTGCTCTACTGAAAAACAAACAAACAAAAAAAAATACAAGGAAGGTTTACACCGCCTATGGAAACCTCATTTTAAAACTGACAGCGCTATTTGAGAAGATGAAGAAATACACGCAGGGGGAAGCGAACAGCAAAAAACAACATCCTCGCCGTGCCGCAGTTTCTCTCTGCGTTGGATAGACGAGCGCAACCCTCCTTCGCCCGAGGCCGGCCCTGCGCCGGCGCGATGGGTGCGCTGTGGGCTGGGCGAGGGCGGGCAGTGACGGGCATGGCGGCGCTGCGGAGGAGCGTGGTGTCCCCCGCTGGCCGGCACACCGCCTCCCTCATCTTCCTGCACGGCTCAGGTGCTCAGGCTGCTCAGGGCCGGGGCGCGGGGCAGGGTTTCGCTGCCTGTTGGGAAGGGCGGGGAGAGCCGCCCTCTGCAGCGGGGCTCTGCTGGGAGCGTGGCGGTCGTCTCCGGCAGGGCAGCTGCCAGGCACGGCGGGGCTAAGAGGGAGGAAATCCGGCTTCGGGTGCCTCATGCCTCGCGGCTTTAGCTTCTCCTTCCCGTTCCTGGAGCCAGCGTGGGGCTTACCCCGGGTGGGGGTGGGCTTCGTGTATGAGCTTTCCAAATTTCCCATTTGTCTGGGTCACTTGCGGTGTGCGGTTCTGTCCTATACCTGCTCGACTCACTTTGCCTGTAAGCTGTGCTCCCGTTAGTTTGACACTGTTATTTCTGAGAGTAGCTACCTGTGAAGGATGATTTTCGTAATTAAAATGTTTCTTGGAGTTTCTAGGATCAGACTGGCAGAGTACCAGTACCTTTCTCTGCAGGAAAGGACCTGATGGTACCGGTGGATGGCAGGCTAGGCATGAGCCAGCAACGTGCCCTTTGCAGCCCAGAGAGCCAACCTGGTGGGATCTCACCTGGTGTACACGGTCCAGGTGTGCAGTTCTCAGTGTAGGAGAGACATGGACCTGTTGGAGCACGTCCAAGGAAAAGCCACAAAAATGATCCCAGGTGTGGGATACCTCCCCTACAAGGACAGGCTGAGAAGGCTGGGTCTGTTCAGCCTGGAGAAGAGAAGGCTCCAGGAGACCTGAGAGCAGCCTTTCAGTATCTAAAGGGGGCCTGTAAGAAAGAAAGGGATAGACTCTTTAGTAGGGTCTGTTGTAACAGGATGAGAGGAAATGGATTTTGGAAACTAAAAGAGATTGGATATAAGAAACAAGTTTTTAACAGTCAGGACGGTAAGAGAATAAAACAGTGCAGAAGTGGATGCCTTGTCCCTGAAGACGTCCAGTGTCAGACTGTGGATGGGTCTCTGAGCACCCTGATTGAGCTGTAAGTGTCCCTGTTAATTATGGGGGTTTGGACTAGATGGCCTTAAGGGTCCCTTCCAACACAAATGATTCTATGATTCTTTTAGAAGTGTGTTAATAGGCTGTGTAAGGCACCTGCTGGGAAGATTCCAGCCTGTGCAAGTGGGCATTATGGCCATTAGAGAAGGCCTTCAGCAAGTGGTCCAAGGGCAAGAGGAGAGAGTTCATCCCGAAGGTTAATTTAAGTAACAGCCACAAAGTCCATGTGAACTTAAAAAAAAAAAAAAAAAAAAAAAAAAAAAAAAGGTCATAAAGATCATAGGTCTTTATTACATCAAGGACTTGCACTCTGTTCTGCTGAGTAATTTTCACATGATGACATGCTTAACTCCTTCAGTCTTACTGTAGGCTTTGGTTTTTTAGGTGATATAGATGCTTGTTTGTGGTGGTGTTTTTGTTTTTTTTTTTTTTTTAAATAGTTTAATTACATTTTTCTAAAATCCTGGAAGTTTAAAAACAAAAAAATGAAAGAGAGTTGGTAAGGTGTGTTCAGCACTCTTGTTAATGCTAATGTTTTAATGCTCAAGGAAATAATTTCCTCTCATGTTGGAGGAGGAAGGGAAGATTATGGTTAGAAGTTGGTTCCACATGTGGTCAAAGCACTCCACAATTTTTCATTTTTAATGATTTCAGTCATAATGTTTGCAAGGGGTAAGTATGAGGGTGCTTTTATTTGGTTTTGTTTAGCAATTCCGCAGGATAGAATTTAAAACAGAAGTAGCCACAGTGCCATTGCTGTGGGCTGATGTATAAAACTGAATTGGTACCTTCTATACAGCGCTTGTGATGGGAAGTGGCAGTTGAATGGCACGAATCCATTTTGTTAATAATACTTGCTGCAGCCAAAATAAGACTAGTGGAGAATGTAAATACAAAATGGTATGGGAGAAAAAAAAAAAGCTAGAAAATTTCAGGTATTATACATCCAATTTCAAATGGGGGATCTGTTTGGTAGCTCAGCAAAGAAAGCAAATGGTTGTAAATCAAACTTTAAATTATTGTACATTTGATCAACTTAAGTTTACAACTTTATATAACAAATACTAAAAGAAAATCTGAAAATGAAAGATATATTTTAAAGGAAAGCAATTTGTTTTACTTCAAGAGGGGAAGAAAGACAGTATTGCAGCCATCAGTTTATTTCACTTTTGGAAACAGAGTTGACTGCCTCTTAGTTGACTGTTTGCCTCTTTGGTCAGAAGGATAAACAGTGCTGAAATCTAAGAATATCTTTAAAGAGAAACATTTTGGAATGCTGTTGTGTTTTATTTGGTGTCACTGTGGTTTTCTCTACCTCTCCTCCTTTCTGTTCTTAGCGAATCAAAATTTTTCACCCCTGCACAGAAGTACTTGCAGGTTGCATAGCATTTGGACCAGGAGAGCTCTTAGTATACAGTAAGCCATTGTCAATATTAATGAGTTTTGCATCTACCTTACATTGGCAAACCAGCTTCAAGAACTGTAGATGCTTCTACTCATATTGGCAGAAACCTTATAACTCATGTAAGGAAAGTGCTAAGGAACTGAAGTGTTCTGAAGCATCGAGTTGAAGACATAACTTTGACTTTTAAAATAGCACAATAATGTGTTGGTTTTGGGACCCTGTTGTTTATTTGCCACTTGGGATATTTAGCTCAGAACTTCATGGTTTTGCTATGTGCTCAACAGAAAAACAAAAAGCTGGATTTGGATCGTTCTTGTTTTCTATTGTTAATTTTAAAATGCATTGGCTTTAAATACAGTGAAGTCTCTAAATTTTCTGTGAATGGTAAAGCAAGATAAAAACCTTGTCTATTGGGGAATTATCAGTAGTGTACCATTAAGTTGTTATATTCATGTGTCATTGTTCTGAAGAACTCATGTAAAAGGACAGAAAGTGTGGATTGGGACAGTTTATCTTGTGGCTTGGTCACTATATGGAATAAAGCAAGTTTTAAAGTCAACCTAACCAGTCTGAAATACAGCAATAGAGAAGGCTCTTAATTCAGATTAGTGATCTGAGATTAGAATATGAAGGAATCTTTGACTTAAGCCAAGAATGAAATAATATGGCATGAGTGGCAGAAGTGAGATTCCAGGTTGCTGAATCCTGGCTGAATGTTTAGGTTGGAAATTACTACAGATTGTTACAGTCTCCTAGAAACCATATTCTTTGAGCTGGGTTACTCAGTCTTTACTAGAGACCTATGTGTGCATGCAATTTGAGGCAGGTGACAGGTTATATTTGAAGCTACTGGTACAGCAAAGATGAGGACTAGAAAGAGTATTTGCTTGAAAGGAACACGTGCTGCATTTGAATTCATTCTGTATATCTGTTCATAGCCCTTCTATTTGTAGGGACTTTGGCTATAAGCTAGGTTTGGATAGTTAATAGTAAACCATACAGTAGAGCTCAGCCAGTGTTCAAATAGACCATCTGGATTAATGGATTAATGGTTTTGAGGAGCCTGACAGATATTTGAATTAAAACTCGAACACATTTACAGAAAATTGGGGGTGTTTGACTGACAGTTTCCTTAAAGCCTACGTATAACATTAGCATAATAAAATGTGAAGATTCTCATTATTGCTTGACTATGTTTTGAAGTGGGTTAGTGTAAAATGCTGTTCCCTTTAAAAGAGAAAGTCACACTTTACTACAGCAAGTTTTCTAACTCACTTTTGAAATATCCACTGGTATTCTTCTATTATTTTTTTTTTTTGCTATCAGCAAGTAAGTTTCAAATAAGATGTCAGGCCCTGTGCCTGATTAGGAGGTATTCAGCTGCTGGATATAGTAAAGTATTTATTGAACTTATGCTGTGGAGCTTCCTGAGGAGTCTGTGTCTAGGAGTATTTGAGTTCATCTTCAGTTTAAAGGTGATTGATGTTATTAAAGGTTATTTTCTGTAGGAGTTTGGAGAATTAACTTTGTGATTAAGAAATTAGCTCAATCTAATATAAATACATTTGACGTCATGCATTTAGAAGGAAAATGATACATAGTAATTTGTACTGTACTCTTCTGTGTGTTACAGGTGATACTGGCCAAGGAGTAAGAACATGGATAAAACAAATTTTGAATCAAGACATGGTTTTCCAGCATATAAAAGTGATTTACCCAACAGCTCCTGCCAGGTATTGCTTAGTATATTTAACAGTACAAGTAAATTATTCTGATCCACTACTGCGAATTATGTGCAGATTGCTGTAATGTGTCCTTAATGTTTATGCCTTTTGGCAAAATCAGAGCTGAACAGTGCATCACTGCACTGCATCTGCAATGCTGAAGGATTAAGATCTCATGTACATCACAATTTCCAATTCACATTCAGGTATTGTCCTTTAGTCTTTCAACCTCCTTGACGTCAGTAGAAGATACTCCACTGTGTGCTGTAATTGAATCATAGAGCTGTATTCTGTGTCTCTGTTCTACCTGTATTAATTTAAACACTAAAATACTTTGTTGTATCTAATGCTGGGCTTCAGTTCTTGGTAGATGGTCTTTGCGACCAATAGGATGTAAAAAATCTGCAACTCCTGGAGGAAGGACTGGGTATTTAAAGTTTATACTTTTCCTTAATTTTGCCTCTGACACAACTGTCAAAAAGAACTGTGTTCAGTGTTCACTGTAGGTAAGATCTTGTTAAGTGATACTTGTATATTCAGTGGTATGCAACAAAGAGGTAAAAATATTTACCCCTGTGATTTTGAAAGTTGAGATCAAAATAAAGGGCAGAAGTTGGTCACCTATGCCTGTATGAAACTATTTAAAGATATGGTCTTATTTCAAAGGTGCTTCATTTTTCATAACTTTTAAAAAACATTTTCTTTAAAGGTAATGTTTTCTTTAAAGGTAATGGGCCTAAAGGCTCTTTACCTTTACCTCTGTGCCAGTGTGTGGCTGAATGCTGAGGGAAAGAAATTGTGATATTGTGATATGAACTTTCAAGGTAGAAGGTTCTGAAAGTCAGAAAAAAAAGTATTCTTGGAGCAGATTAACAAGTACAATAACAGATCTTATCTGGCATCACTAATATGTAAAAAACCTTTCCTTGACCTTGATCCACTTAAGCAGGAAAAGCAATTGAGAGATTGCAGTGTGAATATGCTCACCGTTACAGAAAAATCAAGCCCATGAAAGCCTTTAAAGCAGTGTCTTTTGGGTTAGTAGGCATTGAACATGAGTGCCTGTAAATAATGTGATCACTACTTCATTAATGACAGACTAAAGTGATGGAATTTTCAGTGTCAGATCAAACATAGTGATGCGCTCTGTTTCTTCCCTGTCAGGAGCAAGTACTAGAGAAATGTTGAAGCTTTGCTACCGTATGAAATGTCAAGTGTTGGATGTAGCCAGAGCACTTCAGACCATATCTGTGAGGCTGGTGCTTATCTTTTCCATCCCATTGCCCTTCTGAGATACATTTTTCATTTACTTTGGGGGCTTTTTGGATAACTACAGATATAAGCCATGTATAAATTAATAATCAAGATCAAGGCTAAATGAATGACAATAATGTGGGCTTTCATTGTTTTTATTCTAAGACTTTGGATTTCTTTGCTTTTATGAAGAGATTGGGAGGAAGATGTCAAAGATTTTTAAAGCAAAGAGTGTTTTTAGTCATTTCTAGAGTAGCTACAGACCGTGCATGATTCAGTTAAGTGTTTCTTATCAAAATTATGAGAAGTTTTGTATTGAAAGAATTAAAAATACCCACACTACTTCTCTTTGCCAATGTGAATTATGCTTCAGAATATTAATGTAAACCCTTCCATTGCTGATAAACACCATTAGATGATTCAGTGAAATAAAACAGAGATCATTAAGTACAATAATGTTTACCACTCTTTGCAACTATGAGAAGTGAAGGTAAGTGTTATCGGTTGAAACAGAAATAACAGAAGACTTTGCAGACCCCTTCAGTGTTATTTTGGTATTCAAGCTCAAGCACATTATGCTTTTAAATATATTTACAATGATTCCTCTCCTTGGAATCATAGAATCGTCAGGGTTGGAAAAGACCTCCCAGATCATCCAGTCCGATTCTCCACCTACCACCAATATTTGCCCACTAAACTATATCCCTTAGTTTACAGCATCTAAACATTATCCTGCTATCCACAGAAAATGAAAACAAGGTCTAGATCATCCAAATTTAAGTAGCAAATGAGAAATCTGCATTAGGCACTTGAATGTGCTATGATTTTGTGTATGTACATACGTATGTATGCATGTGTATATACTTATGTTTATGTGTATGCATCTTCTGGTAACTGCCAAATGTTTCAAGCACCAGCATGGGAATTCAGTGTCCCTGATAATGATACCTGCAGGTGGGCAGTTGCATATGTGCAAGTATGGAATATGGTTCTGATCCAGCTTCTGAGTATCTGGAAACAGATGCTGATGAAAAGCTGCAGAGATGAGTGAAAGAATATCTCTAGACGGTACAGTGTTGTCCACTGCATTGTCAGTTTTAGAACGCAGAGCAGAAAGGTTTGTGAGCAGGTTTTTACATTAATGATGAAATCAAAGGAAAGCTTCAAGGTAGGCAAGACCATACCAGGATTTCTTGGCTAACAGGCTCTTCTGGCAAGATAGCTAATGTGAATGTAGTTCATAGTCTATAATAAACTCCTATCTTTGCCAGCATGGCTTACCACGTACACACTGAACATTCTTAAAGCAGTTATGCCAGTAAAAGGGAAGATAATAGAACTGCAATGCTAGAGGCTTTCACAGGGTAAACTGCATTTCAAAAATTTTCATTTCAAAATTTTGACTGATATAATTCTATTGATAGGTAACTCTTTAGATTTGGCTCTTCAACTCTCACATAGAGTTCTGAACAGCAGCAGAGCTCAAAATTCTCAATAAGGCATTAAATCTTATGTTCTTTGGAGAGCTTAGATAGGTTTTGTTTTCTAAACGTTATTTAGAATTTATCCTGAGCACTGATGCACATATGGTTCCTTTATTACTATAGCATCAGGCGTGTTTTGATTCAAGAGTCAGGACACTTAAAAATTATTTTGGAAAACCAGCCCAACATGTAAGCTAGAAGAATTCTAAAATGTGTTTTTTGTTTGATTAGCTTCGAGTCCAGCAAGCACTAGTTAGAATTCTTTCTCTGTGTGGGTAAAAGCAACAGAACATTTCTGAACTATGTTTTATAAAAATTGTTTTGTACCTCTGAAGGTCTCTGTAAAATACTTTAGCCTTTTTAAAGGCTTACTTTTCTTTAATCATTTTGTAATGTTCAGGGTCTGTCTAGAGGATGATCCTCCATGTGTCCCCCAAACAGATAAAGTGTGTGCAGCACTTTTGCACTTTCCCTATTACTTTGGAGTGTTTTGAAGTTTCTCCAATTGACCTGTTTCCTGACTGGAAGTAACAGAAATTACTTAGAAGATACTTAGGTGTTCTAACAGCAAATTACAGTTACAAACAATCTCTATGGTTAAGAGTGTACTTAAATTAAAAAATGGCTAAATACAGGGATTTGAAATCTCAGTGAGAGCAGTGGTAGCTGGAAGTGCATAATGTTTGGAAGTGCCTGAATGTGGTACATGAAGATTTTGTTCAAGTGACTTGCTTTACAAACTTACACTTCCAGTTTTTTCTTCTTAAGGAGTTCTTGCTTTCTGTCACATAGGCAACTGGGATATTAAAAAATCCATAGATGTGTTTAATTTGTTTTTCTTTCAGCTTTAGCTTTCTTTCAAGACAGTGCTAGCGTACATAGATACAACTTGCTGAAGACAAGAGAATTGTATTTCTTCTCCCGTTTAATGCTGATATATGACTTCTAATTAAAATGTGGGATCTCAAACTGTAGCCCTTGTAGCTGATGCAATCCCTAAAGCCACGTCTACAGTAATAGATTTAAGGGAAAGTCTTTCCTTTTTTCCTTTTTTTATTTGGGTCAGGATGACTACAGCTTTAAATACTGTTTCATCTGCTATGGCTGTGACTTAAAAATTAGGTTTCTATTGAGTTTCTAAATCAGAACTGAATGCTACCCAATTTAAACTTTTTTTATAATAGAAAGTGATAGTTTAAATTGGCATTGCAGAAGCTAACGTGGTAAAGTTAAAACCATTTAGGCTCTGCTTGTTTTAATAAGTATACCTTACCTTCTTTAATTCCCTTAAAAAATCTAGGTCAAAGATTCTTTGCATTGTCTAGCATTCCATTCTGACAGTCTTCTTTTGCAAGTTAGAAAGTAAACTATAAATACCGCGCAGACTATTTTGTGGATCTTTTTTGACATTCACTCAACATACCTTTCTGAGGCCAACAATTCTTTGCAGAGTTTGTCTATTTTTTCACTATTCTAATTTTTGTTGTCGCTAAGTTTGTGGCTGCTGTGAGCTGCTCAGCGTTATGCGCACTGGTCGCCATCCTTTCACCTAGGTTTGCATCTCTGCTCACGGGTGGAAATGAGTTTCATCTCCTCGTAGTCCCCATTTGGCTATACTGCAAAACCACCAGACAGTTTGGCACCGTTCAGCACCATTGGCAGTCTCTGCTAGCGAGAGGCCTAGGATTGGAAAAGCAGCAGGGGTACTGCAGGTCAGACTTGAGATGGATTGGCAGAGCTGTGTAAGGGAGCGTGCGTGGTGCCTATCATACTATGCTTGGCTCAAGCAAGTGTTATTAATCCCTCGCTTTTGTGAGACCTAACCTCATTCATAAATGTAACACAACGTTTTTTTAGAATCAGAATTTTAAGGGACAAGTGAAAGGTTTTGGTTGGTATCATGGGGTAGTTCTTTCATTGTAAGCAGAAATTGACCTATTCTGCATGATAATGATGAAAGCATATTGTGAGAAGCTTTGCGTCTTCCTTTTATTTCTCACTTTCTCCTAAGTGAGGAAAACATGGATATGCATATATGTAATGTATTCCCATGGGGTGGGAATGGTCATTTACAGTCTACTCATCCACAGTGTTATTGCTGTTTTTCTAATTATTATTATTATTTTTTTTTTTAACAAATCCCCACAAATGGCATCCTTTCCCCTCTCCCCCCAAAGCAAAAAGGCAAAACAGTTAATAAATAAATAATCTGCCTGACCTGCTGAGTTTGAGTTTTATGTCAGTTGCATTTGAAGCTTCCTCTGTTTTGAACGGGAAACATTTGTTACGAGTAAGGAAAATCATCAAAACATTGTTTCTTCAGGTAACTGTTATGTATTTGCTCAGTTGTTACAATTTCAGGCAGCAGAGATTTAGAACAACTGTTTTGAAAGCATTTGCGTTTACACTGATGTGGTTGAGTGAGGAGGCACAGGATGTTCTGTTGAACAGATGGAATTACTCCTTGTGGAGATTACTCTTTTTTTTGTGTACTTGTTGAAGCTGTTTGAATTTCTGGCACATTTCATGCTATTACCATACTGTAAAGCTTCATTGTTAAGCTGTGTTGAACCTCAGATTTAGCATAAGATGTAACTTGGATCAGATCTCTGAATAATGCTTCTGGTTTGAGTGTGTGGATTCTCTGCCCTCTACCTCCTGGTTTTTTTTTTTTTTTTCTTTTTTTTTTTCTTTTTTTTTTTTCTCCAAATTCACTTTCAGCTTCAGGTTGACAGTGAGATTAAAAAGCAGACTTAATAACCAGATGTTCTGTTGTTTATTAATGTCACCAGTGTGATTATGCAAACAGAATTTGGGATTAGGGAGTAAGATTGAATGTTTTGTTTAGTTTTGTTTTTCAATGAAAGCAGCTTTAGCAGAGTCGAGACTTGCTTCTACATCTTGGATAATCTGGCACTGTGCTCTGTAGATTTCCTTGAAAGGATGGACTTCCAAAAGGCAACTTTACAGTGTCTTATGTGACTCAGTGCTTCCTAGCTGGACAGAAGGTAAACTTGGGAAGGAAACAAAAATATGGATTTCAAAATTTTCTGAGTATCTTTCTTTGAATCTTATAGCTTAACTTTACTGTAGATTCTCAATTCTGTCTCATACCTCCAGAACTTCTGTCTGGAACTTAAGGCTTTTTTTTATTTTTTTTTCAATACATCACCAGTGGCCTTTATTTCATGTGACTATTAGCAGAGGAATCTGAGTGATGAATGTGAAGACAGTGATAAAACTGTGACTCAAGAGGAGGAGTTAATGAAATATGTTTATTGATTATCAGTGTACTTGTCTGCTACTCTGCACTTCTTATTGGACATAGCTAGTTGTCTTGTTTTATCCTTTTATGTCTTGTAACTTAACGTTTGATGGACAGTGATTTACAGGTTAACAAACAAAACACGTGTTCTTTTATTTGAATTGATATGCTAGTATCATTTTGGAGACAATTTTGTATGATTTTTAGATCTGAATTTGAACTTTGTGTGCCAGTGTTTGCTTCCTCTCTGCTCCTGTTGACTTAAGATCACCTCAAGCTATTAGCACAAATCTATATGGGATTAAGGTATAGAATGTGTAATCCATGCTTCAGAAAGCTGGAAAAAGATGGAGGCATTGCTGTCTACTTTCATTCTACTTTCCTTGTTATTATGTAATCCACATTAGCAGATGCACATCTATCTTCAGTTTGTGAAAACATGATTGACTGGAGTTATTTTGGAATTTTGCAACAGCAAAGATTGCCTCTGTATTAGAGTACATGCTTAAAAGATTAAGAGGATGGCAGTTAGAGGTACTAATGCACAAATTGTTCATTTGAGACATTCAGGTGGTAGGTGTGTAGAATATTCCTGAACTGTGGTTTCCTATGTTATCTTCAAGAAGCATGTGCATGAGTTACGCATCAGTACGTACCCTTAAAAAAGACAACCCGTCAAGTACTAGGAAAAAATATCTAGAATGACGTGAGGAAGCACTTTAAAGATTCTTTTCCTGAGAGTTCTTGCAGTTTCTTAAATGCTATTAGCCATGTCTCTCTACCATCCAATCTCTTTGCTACAGAGTTGGTTTGACTTGTAGGAAGCTGTTTCAAATGGATATATGTTTGAAAGTTGGATATATCTGGAAGGATGTTTCTTGGTTCCTGTTTTCTGATATGGTTTTGAATCTGCAATTTTTTTTTTTTGTGCTCCAGAGGCTTAACAAGCAAAGCAAAAACACACCCTTTAAAAAAAAAAAAAAATACCAGAACAAACAAGCTTTGTATTGTGGGCTGGGCTGTGTATTTTTATTTAGAATCTCCAAAGCTTGTGTTTTAGGGACATGGAGTTGTTTTTTACTACCATTCAAAAATAATAAGAGAAGTGAGGTACAGAAAAATGCATTAGGAATAATACTGTACAAGTTTAGTTTGAGCTTAGGAAAGCAAAAAAATGCAAACTTAGACCATTCAATTTGACACTGTCCTTAACTGACCATACTGAGCTTAATAGGTGAAGATTTCACTCCAGTCTCTCTTTCTTTGCTTTTGTGTATTTTGGTCCAATCTCTTGTGTCCATGTAACATAGGAATTTTCTTTTGTGGTTTAATTGTATGAAAAAATTTTATGCTGTATTCTTGGAGCTGTTCAGATGGTTCCGTGCCAAGCATATTTGTTTACCGTGGTAATGTCTGAGTTGTAGTGTGCCAGCTAATAAAGAGATTTATATAAAGAACAAGGTGAATGACTAAAACAGATGTGCCAGTTGGGTGAACCATTAAAAGAACCTTACTTCCCAACTTTATGTAAAAGTTATTCTCAATGTATTTCTGAGAAATCAAGAGTGGTTGCATGGATGCTTTTGAGACAGCTGAAAGAGTCTCATCTGTTTGCTTGGGGGTTCTTTACCTTGGGATTAAGGCCCATTAGTCTTTCATCCGAAAGTGTGAAGAACTTGCAAAGTCATGAGTTTTGACTTCTGATCAAGTATTATAATTGCATCATGGGTTTAGTACTGACTCTAAATTTAGTCTTTCAGTTAAGCAGAAATGTGTTTTAATTTTTTTGTAATACATTTTTTCCATGAAATGCAACACATCTTCACTACATGGAAGTCCTTAATTGACCTCCTGTACTAATGCTATAACCTTACACATTTTTTCTCACGTATGCATGTTACTCTGGTTTTACTAAAAAATAAAATATTCTATCTCTGACTGCTAAGCATGTTTACCAGAACTGGTGTAAAAGTGAGAAGTTAAAGCATTGAATTAAATTCTGTTTAGGTGCTTAGTCTGTACAGCACTTTGTCCAATAGACTTCTGGAGAATCCATTGATTTCACTGATATTTGTGTTTCTAACTGGAGTGGATAATCTTATAAACTGATAAGCAAATCAACAATTTTGTAGTTTTGTTTCTTGACATCAAAGAATTCATGTGGGAAGGGTCCTGAATACAGCCCTAATGTTAGGGAATTAAAAGAACATTTTTTCATTTATCTTCAGCTTGTTGGGTGTACGAAATATTTCTACTGTATTTCCTCAAATTTAGTGGTTACACATTTTTAAAGGCCAAGTAAGGGCTAATTTAAACATATACATATATTAGTTCTGGTTGTTAAGTACATGGTTAGTTTTGAATTAAGCAAATGAAGGACAGCCTAAACACACTCAACTGAAGTTGACCATCTTGAGTATTGGTGGATTGTTTTGTTCTCCACGGACAGAAGCTGTGCTCAAGTAGGTGAAACAGAGCAGTCTGTGTGTACCTGCCTGCTCTTTATTGTATTTCTATATATTTGGCTTATCAGCTTTTAAGTCATGGATCTTACGTACTTCATGTTCATAGCACCTGGTGGAAGAAAATCTGTGGTTTCATATTTTACTTGTATAACTGAGTACTGCAGGTAATATTCAGCTTTTTGCATACTTCAGCTAGTGGCAGTATTTGTGGTTTAGAGGTAGACGTTGTCACATGAAATGTATGAAACCTCTCTGGTATTAATAAAGGCAGAATTTGTTGTTTCATTGAGAGTAATTGAATTAGTGCCTTTCTCATTTTAGGGTAGTTGTGTTTTTGTTTAATCTTAGTACTGAAAACATGAAGAGCGCAGAAGTCAGCATTAGCTTTTCAGTGGGTTCTCATCCAGACAGATTTATCAAAAGCTGTCTGTTTGTAGGCAGTGATTGTAATCTGATCTGAGCTCACCTAAGCATAAGTAAAAATGAAGTATGTGCTCCTGATTAGACATTGCAATTAAGGATTTTAGGGGGCTTGGTTTTGAGCTGAAGCATAGATCTCAAAGCAAGATTTTTGGTATTAAATTGTGAAACCATTGCAAGGCAGTTAGGTCACCTTTCTTGGGATTTCAGATTTCTATTTATCTTCTTTATTTAAAAACAAAGAAAAGGCTGCTTTCAATTGGAGCTTTCATGATTGTGAGGTTTAGGCAGTACTTAAAAATATTAATCTGATAACACCGTATGAGAGTGGTGAGAAAAAAAAAAAAAAAAAGATTGCTGTGCCTTTAATTTGTCTGTGCACCAACCAGTAAGCACATGGCACTTCTTTCAATTACTTCTGAATAACCTACCTTAGCAAGGTGAAGATGGCTGTTTATTTAAGAAGAAAGAAATAATGAAATGTCTTAGAAGTACTTGAAGGCTCAAGTACTGTCTTATGACATATGCACGTCCTGTTAATTTCAACAAAAATGAGGCAACTGAATCATATAACACTAGTTCCTCCAAAGTTACCTTGTTGAGCAGTTACTTAAGTTCATTCTATTCCCTGTAGGATTTCAATCCTGGCTTTGGGATTAAGAACCTCTTGACAGGGTTAGGATTAATGTTTAGCTGAACTGATCAACCTTGACATTAAAAGTTTCAGTCAGTTCGTTTTATACAGCAGCCAAATGCCTTCTTCACTCTTGAAAAACAGTCTTTTAAATGCAAGAAAATGCAAAGTGATTGGGGGTGAAGTGAATTAGAGCTGAAAGACATTCCTTCTTTCCTTTGCTGGACAAATAACAAAATACTTTTATTTAACTATTACTTTTATTTATAGATTATATTGACAGCTTTTGATCTTATGCTTAATTAACCATTTATTTCCTTTCCTTCCACTGTTACAGGCCTTACACACCTATGAAGGGAGCCACTTCCACTGTGTGGTTTGACAGATATAAAATTTCTAATGACTGCCCAGAACACATTGAGAGTATTGACACTATGTGCCAAGAACTTACAGATTTGATCAATGATGAGATGAAAAATGGCATCACAAAGGGCAGGATACTAATAGGTAAGACTTAATTTTTGATGTGTTTATTTTAATGCTTCTAACTGTTGAGATGATAGAGATCATTTACTTGGAAATTAATTCACTCTAAAAGCCAATGAGCCTATCTTGCTATGGCCAAGTAACTCCTTCAGCAGCCAATCCTCAAGAACATTCAGTCATTATTTAAACCTATATCACATGGTGAATGTGGCTAACTGCAAGCAGCATCCTCAGAAATGCAATATATAACTATTTTAATTTGAAATGATCATTTGTAATCGCAGTTTAAAGCATAGTGAGCAGGGCTCTACTGGAAGCAATGGAAAATACAGACTTTTGCTTCTAGCCATTTTAGTGGGTGAAAAGATGTACTTTTGGCATGCTTTGCCAGAGATGCTCGTATTTTGGAGAGTGCAGAGGTAGCATATAAATTGTCATGGACTTTCCCATGCTGCTTTAAAGATTCTGATTTAAGTTAATGCACAGGGAAACAAATAGAATGTTATACATTGCTAAAGGTTTATTCTTGACAACAAATTATGTTCTAGTTGTCATATTTCATTCATATGTCTATCTCCTTGTCACTCTTCATTTCCACAGATTTCCAGTTGCTTTCACAGTAGTTCTGTGAAATAGGGAGTGGGATATCAAGGCACAGAAATCGAGGCCAAAGGACTAGCCTACATGAGAGAGGGAGTGAGAATTCAAGAGTCCTTGGCTCCTTGTCCCATCCCTAGACCACAGACTATTTCAGGTTGGGGAAAAAACTCCTAATGTGGGAACTTTAAAATTTATGGCCAAGTGAATCATGCCATCAAGCTCCTGCGTGGTGAAGCCACTGCCCTTCAGCCTACATGTTTTCTTGGTCCAGCCCAATGTTACTCTTTGAAGGACTCTGTTTACTTTCCCTTTCTGGCTTATTGCCCTGGCTGCGGAATGCATTGTTTTGGATGGCTTTCAGCACAGTCTTTGATCTCTCTTTCCTGTGTTATACCTGCTGGCTTGGAAACAGCTGAAGAAGTGCAGGTGCTTTTTCACAGAGTGAGCTGGGAGATGTTCTGTTTACAGATCCAGTTTTCTACTAGGTTTTTCTCCTTACTCTGTAGCCCTCAAAGTCAGTAGTACACTGCAGTATAAGTTTTTGGTTTTTTTCTTTTTCCTTTCAACAAGTTTTAAACAGTGTAAAGTAGATGTGAGACCAATTCCTTCAGCATGTATTTGGAAGTCTCCCTCTGTGAACTTGCATTCCTCGTCTGCAAAATAAATAAAAAAAGTTAATGTTTTCCTCACTCTGAAAAACTTTGGCTTCAGGCTTCTCAAGAAAGTTGCTGTTTGTTTGTAACAGGTGCTTCATCCTAGTGAATCTAATTTTCATGTAACAAACAAAATAAGGCAGCCCTGAATCAGTTCCAGTCAGAGTACAGAGGTGAGGAGCCTGTGTAAATATATAAGAAAAATTAACTAGTGGAAAAAGAGTTGTCACACATGGCTGTGCAAGACTTTGTGTTCTTCCACAAGAACTTTGTGCCTTCTTTCTGTGCAGGTTGTAATGGTTAATGAGAATGGGATGCAATGGAGACTGAAGCTCAAGAGATCTTGTGAGGATTCTATGAATAAAAGTTGATTTTAATATCAGTGAGAGTCTGTAATGGAACATACTTGGTAGTTTTAGATAGGCCTTCTTGAAATAGTTTAACATATTCTGGCACTGTTTCTTACAGAAAAGCAGAACTCCTGCAAAGGCACTTGGTAGCTTTATAACTTTTCATCAAAAGAGTGTGACACCACTGGTTAATTATGAGGATATATTCAATTCATCTGTACAGATCTATAAAGCCTATAATAGGAACATCTTAAATATATGAGAAAGGGACTGGAGGATTGACAACAGTCTGAAGAGCAGCAGGGGTTCTTTTCAGGTACATCACAGAAGCCAAGAACAGTTGCATGAGCAGGGAGGAGAGTTACAGAGAATGAGATACGTATTAAAGGTTTGTGGAAAACTGGGTTTTGGGACTTTATATTTTGCAATAAGTGGGTGTTTTAATGAGTGGAAAGAAAACGAAATAACTATGAGGAGGATAGCAAGATTGAAGGTTATGGTTTTATATAGAATGGTGGACTAGAAATTACAGGCTGAGGATGAGTGTCAGATATTGTTAGATGATTGCAAGCTAGGTGTTAGGCAAGCAGGAAGGGGGAAGATACTCAAATGGTGGAAATGAGCAGCCCATCATCAGATGTTCTAGGGGATGATTCTCCTTCTGGAGCAATCAAACTTTCCACCAGGCTGAAGACTGTGGGTACAACAAGATCATATGTTCTGAGAGAAATGACATCCTATGCTGTTACTTTGGGTAGCACGGTTAGCTCTGAAATCCAAAAGCAGCTGCCAGTAGAGCTGAACCCTGAAACTAAGGATGAAGTCAGAGTACGCTATGTCAATAAAAACATTACAGCATTTTTTTTAAACAGCTGCACTGTGTATTTACTTCTAAAGAAAACAACTAAATTGCTTAATTCACTGGAGGTGAATAAATTGTTATTAAAATCAACCAGCATGCAGTGGCACATAGCTCATCTGCCCGTTCTTTTCCTGATAGTCTGCATTGCTTTTGTGTCAGTGCAGAAGTCTTTTAAAAGAGGTAAACTTATTCATTGAGGATTTTATTCCTCTGAATTTATAAGGAGAAAGAAGGAAGACTTAGAAATATTCCTTATTCTAAATAATTATATTTAGAATATATATTTATAATATATTTACATATAGTGATCATTCCTTGAATTTGATAATTGAAGACTCTAGGTAAACAGCCCTTTTGAGTTACTTTTCTGGTTCTCCTGGCTGAAGCACTTCTTGCAAATGACCTCAAAAGTTATTTGACATTGGAGATAAGAACGTGATAAGAATTAGTCAAATTCTGACTCTTAATTGGTACCCCTTCTTAAAAGCTGGTTGTGATCATTCTGTATTATCTCGTAATTCATCACTAATTAAGTAAATAGCATTTTAAAATGTGGGACAATCATTTCATTTTCTACTTAAAGCAGAGTTAATTTTCAGGTGATGGTGGGTCTTTTTTTTATGTGTGTTTTTCAACTTCCAAAGCAACACACATCACTTCCAGAGTGATGGTGTACTATAAAATGACTTATGTGGAAAATGCCAAGTATTTAAGCAGTCTTACTCATGAATATGCTGAAGCTTGATAGAAATAGACACTTTTCCTTTTGCTGCAGGTGACTAGGGTTCACTTTAGTCAGCTGTTTCAGTGAAAGCCCATCTTTTTGTTCTCTATTGTTCTTGATTGAGTACTTCTTCCCTACTTTACAGGTCACTTTTTGTGTAGTACAGAAATGCTGATCCAAGCACAGTGGGGCTCTGCCACCTGTAGTCACTTGTGTAAGCAGCCAGTGAAAATAAACTTCCAATAACAGTCCTGTAGATTTGACTGTGTGCCAAAACACACACACATGATTCCTGACCCCTTGTACTGTAACAATAACAAGACACACAACCACTTTTGTTTATTGCTAGACTTCTTACACAGCTACTGAACCATGGTGGAAGTAACATGAAAGTTCTGTGCCTCTTGTAAATATTAGCATTTCCATTTCTCAGTGTGTGTGAGAATAGGACGGGGAGGAAAAACCTTTGCTTTGACATCCCAGAGAGAAGATTCTGTAAATATGAGAAGATAAAATCTCAACAATAATTCATTAAAACACAGCGTGAACTACTTTGAGACGTGCCACAGAGTGCACGTTGACATGCACTTACTTCACATCTGTGCCTATGGGGTCATAGAAGAGAAAGGCTTAACAAGGTCAAGTTCTCTAATCCATCTTCATATGTCAGTGCAGATTCAGTGCTACTTAAGCAAATCCTTACCATTGCTTTTCTGTCTTTTTTTTTTTTTTTTACTAAAAGATCTCGAATTACAACTTTCCCACATCAACCTAGAATCACTCTCCTGGTTTTTCTGTTTTAAACCTTTCCCTAGTGTAAGCCTTTCCTAGTAGACTGCGTTCATGCCATCTCATTTATAATTCTTCTTAAGGTCCTCTGTTTTACAGAAGATAAGTATTTTTACTGCAAGCAGCACAGTATATATTTGCCAGAGGTTTGGTATTTGAGTCATAGATAGTACTTTCTGCAGTGAAACAAAATAAATGTTCCATTTTTTTTAAGGAGAGAGTTGAAAGGAGAGAAGGATTAGCATTCCAGATGAGTTTGCAAGTATATACCAGGTTGCATGGAAGAAGCAAAGGCATGAGGTAATAAAAATGTATAGATGGGAGTAGCAAGCAAAGCTGAGAGATAAATGGCAGGAGTTGGAAAGCAAGTTTTCTAAATTCATTTTTCTTGATGCATGTTTAATGATCTTTTTTCCCTAGTGCTCTTTCACCTAATTTTCTTCCCTTCTTTCGTTCTAATTTGGCCTCAAAGGTACTCCTCTTCTGCTCTCTTGTAAAGCAAATTAAAGCTTTTCTTGGTTGGAGAAAAGATGATTTTGGAGTATCTTCTGTCATCATGCATCTTTCCCATTACTGCTGGTTATAGCCAGGAGGAGGGAGAAGAGGTACATGTCTCTAAGCTAGGCACCGTAACACATGGGCTATGAGGTCTACAGATAAAGGTATTTCAGAAATCAATCTCAATGTTACCAGACTGAGCTGAGTGTAAAAAATACAGCTAGGTGTGGTGGGAGTGCTATATTGTCATCATCAGAAACAACCATGAACACATTTGAGGTGTGGCCAGATCCTTAACTCTGGTAGGGTAGCATCTGAATGAAAACTCATTTGAGACTTCATGGCTTTTACTTTTCTTCTAGTTCTGAATGTTGACTGCTTATGTTCTATTCTACCACGTACTTCAGTTGAAAATACACAATGAGATTATTGTTTAACTAAGGTGATGCTTCAGAAACTGCTGTATACTTTTTACAAGAAGACCGTAAAACTTGTGTCACTTAAATACGCATTCAAATATGCTGGTATTTTTATAGTGGGAAAGT